GTGAGAACTTGCGTATTTTTAGAAGCAATTGCTTCATACTTTGAAAATTTAGAAGAATTCAGTTTCGTAATTACTGTAATGCAGAGATAATTGGAAAATTTGAAACTCCGAATTTATCATCGATTTGATGCGAAGCATAGAATGCAAAAGCTGTCGAAGATGTCTGTTTCCACCAATTAAAATTTCTCAATCGGGATTATTTTTCGAATTAAATTCTTTGTTTGGAAAAACCGCTTCATTCAAAATGTGATTTTACCTCGCCTTGTATAAATATTTACATTTTAGAACGCTTATGTATATAGACTTTTAGTCCTTGAGACGGTATCCACGTTCAAAGTTATTATTTAGACACAAAATTACCTAAGTACAACAAAATTGAAACCATATATATACTAGAATAGCAAATTTATGAGCGATCCGACTTCATTGTTTTTCCAAAAAAAACCGCAAAATCCATCCACTTTGAGGCGAACGTAAATCTCAACCTTAATTTTATTTATTTTCCAATTTATTTGTTTATTTTTGACAATACAGTATTGGTTATTTGGAAGTTTTATTTGTGGAAAGTTTGTGTAATGTTAGGAAAATATTATTACACTGAGAAGATTGCGAAAAAAACATTTGCTGTAAGTTTTCAATTTTTTTTTCTACAACGCTCAATCAATAGCTAGTAAAATTACTGTCACAATAAATAAGTCTCCAGTATAAACAGAAAATTCATCTGTCTTAGATGCGATTTTTCCTTTGCAACAATTTTGTTAGACAACATTCTAAAATACTATACAGTACACTTTCTCTCTCGTTTCTGTTGAGTGTCTATAGAATCAATGCAACAAATTTGTGAAAACTCAAAATTATAGAAGTAACTTACCAAAGTGACCGACTTTGTTCCTTGGGCTATGTTAAATCTGTCAAATTTACCTTTGCGTTGAAATTTTAACTATCCTTTTAGTTAAGATTTCAGCAATTTTAATTAACTGTAAGTAGTACTGCTAGTTAGTTGTTTACAGCTTCTTGTTAAATTTTAAATTGATACGCTTTAATGGAAAATAATACATTCGTCTTTTCAGAAAAAGGGAATATATAAAATATTTTTTCAAAGCAAAACGTTTTATCCTAAATAAGAAATTCTCATCTAGCCACTTAATTTATTAGACTTTCGATTATAACTTCTTCTTTGTGCTGCAAATACAAATTGTAATCCACAGATTGAACCATTTTGTTTAATTTGTTAAGTAAAATCTTCACAAAGTTTCTGTAGAAAATTTAAGCCATCAAAAACCAAAAGGATTGTCTTTATGCTTTCATAAAATAGTAGTCCGAAACGTTGAATCATAAAATAATTTTATGAACCATCCAAACAACTTTATTGACTACGTCATTTCTTGCAGTAAAAATTTCTGTAATAGACCATTCCACCTAGATTAATTAAAACTGAATCTATTGACGCAAAGATGGAAGGATGCAGGGTTCTTCAAACAAGTACAGGTTCTTCTGGTACAGTAATTTTCAGTCTCTAAACTCATAACTTACTTCCAAACTTGGCGAAATACTGCAAGAATTTAATTTTTGGAAGTAGGTAGGTATTAATACAAAATTAAATAATAAAGTGATCGTAGTGAAATCAAACTCCGAATAAGTATAACAAAACCAAAGATAAATAGATTTTTGTCAATGCATTCAGTGGATGATTTGTGATTTAATCAAATCCATATTGAACTATCGCGCAACGGATTATTATTATTGATGGAGGAGAAGCTCTCAATTTTTCTCAATGTTTAATTAAAACGTGGTGGAATGTGCTGATCAGGAAAGGACATTTGTAATCTTACAGTTGTAGAAAAAGGTAAGGGGTTATTTGTTGATGTGGAGGCACGAAGTAAGACTTTTCAATGAAATCATTTCTGACAGAAACAGAGTTACTTCTTGTAGAGCTGACACACGTCATGGTGACACTTCTATATCTAAAAGAAATTACCGCTTAGGGGATTTCAAGTAAAAAATTCAAAAGAATGGGTGTCTCGTCTAACAACGATGAAAAGAAACGTGAACAGGTATGTACGCGAACGGAGAGTTTTTAAAGATATTCGAAAAAATGCTAAGTTCTGATATTTAAATTTTAACTAAGTGTGTGACAGGGAATAATAAAGATAAATAAAACGAAACGGCATTTTGGTCAGTTGATTATGGGATTTTCACAAGCTATTAGCATTTTACGTTAAATTTAATATCTCCAATATAAATGTTAAGCGGTGTCATAAACCCAATACGATGCCCGACTTAATGGCTGTTTTTGAGCGACAACATAAAGTATCCGAATGTTCTACAATTCACCTCATGAAATTGCTGTTTTGTCGAAAACTTATTTATATACTTACTGACATTTTATGCTAAACAAAAAAACAGTTTCTGTAGGGAAAACGTCGAGGTAAAACGTTAGTTAACTACCGGAACATTTTGCAAGCCCTCACTTCACTTTTAATTTTGGGTGGCAATACTTAAAATTGTGAATTTTAAAGAACCAGATTTTGTGAAGACAATATCGACTCCAACAGTTATTAATCTGAACTTGCTTTACTTTAGTGGAAGTACAGGCTCAAATTACGGTTCGCCACAGTCGCAATGAACTTCACCCTGCATCATAAAAAAAGCAATCTGCCTTGAATACGAAAGGCAGATGCCATTTTTCTTAAGTTGTGTGTGCAAACGTTAATACAACGATGTCTTTGCAAGACATCGTTGTATTCTGGTTGCACCAGAAACGTATCGCGCCAATCTTACTTCACTGTTCCTATTTTCAAGTTTAACTAAAGTTTTCATTAAAATCTATACAACAGTAAAAAGCCAATTGAAGTTGGGTACGCCATTTCAGTATTTTCCTTAATTTTTTTCCTTATTACATATATAACCGAGCAATTTAACAAAAACAAAAAACTTCTTTATCGTCTCGAAGAGACTCTCATGTTTTCGGATTTAATCTGTGTTGGTCTATCGATTCGGTCCAATCAGAGCGATTCACAAAATTATCCATGAACACGCCTACTTCGAATGTGTCCTTCTGTAAAGCTTAGAATTTTATGTGACGTTGCGTAAAACTTTTTCCAATTAAATCCCGCAGTTACAATTTGCAACATACATTTCCAGAAGATCCATTTAAATTACAAGCCTCAACCTATAACAAATAAACCTTTGGGAGTAGTGGTTCTGACAATAAATTTATTGTGTGAAGAACCAGTTACATTCAGTTTTTTTGCGATTACGAGCATTTGCATCTTAGTAATGATGGTCGTTCCGAAAAGTGTCGCAATTTGTGGAAACTTCAATATTCGGCCAATTTCCGACAAAATGCTTTCAATTCCTGCATTTGCCGAGCTGCGTCATGTTGCATGAAATAGGTTTTAAACTCCATTTAACTTTTCGTCAATTCTTCTCTGAGAATTTAATCCATTCTACACTATTCCTAGTTGAAAACGTGACTTTTCAAGGGGGAGATATAATTTTCCGATGTCTTTTGAAATGCTTTTGTTCACACAATCGGCTTAGTGAATATATTTTAGTAAAATTTAAATTGTTCCCAAATGAGTTGCAACATTGCTCCAATTAAATTATAAAATACGCGTAATAAAGTTCGTAGGCGTACGCAGTTCGGAAAAAATCAACATTCAGTAGCCACATTGGTAGCAATTATTTTTCAATTTCACGATAATCTCTGCCGTAATTATCGCGTTTCCGTGTGCTTTATTTTTGCTTGTTTCTAAATAAAACATTCTATTCCGAGCCTGCACGTGAAAATTGTCGTGAGAGGCAAAAGAAATGTCGTATATTAGTCCGTAAAATTATTTTATGTCTGACATTTATCTATCTACAAATTTATCTTTACCAAAAAAATACCGCATTAATTTTTATTAAAAAATATGCCATAACATACACTAATTGCGCTTTCAGAGCAAGGAAAGATCTATCTGAATAAGTTTGGGTAATTTTTTACTTCTCGAGCGCAAACTAGGAAAAATATATAAATATAATTTTCTAAAATATAATGCAATATTAATGAAATAATTTCGTCGATCTTAGTCTATAAAACTAAATATATGCCGCAGCCGCCGCCACCAACGTTCTACGAGCCAACGATAGTTACACACCCCAAACGAATACCAAATACCTCCGCATCTTTTAAAATAATCTCGTCATCCTTCTGTTGGTTCAATATAACAGTAAAACGAGGAGTCGCTGGATTTGCCTCATGAAATTTTCAATACGTTTTCAAAATGTAACGTCTCCATTGTTAGATTTGCTGTTAAGAAATTTTAAATAAGATGTGTCCATAATTGTCTCGTGATAATGCCAGAACAGTTTTTTTAACAGTTTATCATCATCTTCTTTTTAAAATGTTGATTAAATTTTCAATCACATATTTTTAAAATTCAATATCTCAATTATTATGGAAATTTCGGAACGCGGTTTTCACCACACTTTTCAACTTACCTATATAACTCTATTTAATCGTCGACTTTTTTGTTCGAAATGGAATACAGTGGTGTCCAAAAAGCTACTTTTTAGTGTAGGTACGTCGTTTCCAACCAAAAAAACGTAACACGTTTCTCCTACGGCTGCCCTTGTATTACATAGATAAATTTGTAAACAGCTTATATTTAAAATTTCATAATAATAATTCTGTTGACAATGAAGATATTTCATTCTGAAAATGTATCGAAAATCCCATGAGCCAAACGCAGCGAATCATCTTAAGTAAATGTAAACTACACATATATGTATATGTAATTTCACATATCCTGGACCCATATACACAGCTCACGCTATTTTTACCCACCTTAGGCATTTGTCCAAAGTCTGAATATCCATTAAACCGGTCAATCACGCACGAACACAAATAAAACGTCGTTTTTATTTTTGTCCAGTCGCGATCGCAATTTAGAACATCCCTGTCACCGATAGTCTCTGCAAAGTTTTTTCATATATTAACTGTATTATTGTTGCAGTTGTTCGTTGTATGTGGGGGTGAGTGTCGGCGTGATGGGGCGGGGGCAGAGCTCGCCCATGGAGCTCGGCTAGAGGCGTGCGCCCCTGCCCGGCTGCCCGGCCCCCCCTCTGCCGCCCTCACCACGGCCCACGCATGGAGCCGGACCACCGGGACCACCGATGCCACAGGCCCAGCGCCTTTGACAAAGTAAGTTATTCGAAATATTTCATTTGCCCGGCGCATCCACCATTTTCGTGAACCCAAGCCACCGCAACGGAATGACGTCAACGATGAGAATGTTACGAAATGGAAAGATTTCGTCTGTCCGAGGTTCACGTCAGAAAGGAAGATTTCGTTTTGAACCTGCCAAATATATTTTTGCCTGTGATTACAAGAATTAAAAAATGGGGAATTTAGCGAAAACTACAGCGCGGTCGATATTTAAAAATCTGGAATTGGTCTGATTGTGAATTAGCTGATTTCACAATAAAATACACGACTAATGTTGGGAAAATTACGAACATATTATTAGATTCTAAAACAAGACGATACACACATTCTTATATAGTTTTTATATTAGGCCGGTTTAGAACAACTAAGAAACTATTAAACAGGCAAATACTTACGTTACTAAGTTCTTTCATCCGATGCGCTAACAAAATTCGATACGGCTGACCTCAGACGGCGAACTTTCGAAAATTATTTACCAGAACTGAAGCGCCTCCGGCCCGTCAAGGTAATTCTATTTTCGGAGGTTTCAAGTTTAGGGTGAACATCCTTTGTCTTTAATGATTCTCCATAACGGTGCCAGAAGCTTTCGCACGGTAAATATTCTAATTGTCTCTAGATTATTTTCCACTTTTCTTGAGTCAACTCTGCAAATTACCGCTAGGAAAAAAATATCTACTTTAGCCTCGGATTCTCACGATCTTATCAAACTTTCTTTCAGAATAATTGCTTTCGGTGGGTCTTATCTTCAACAGTAACGTTCGAAAGTCCAACTTTGCCTAAATTACGCTCTAAACATAAAGTTTGGAGAATAACGTTACTCGGAGAATGGAGATTTCTTCCGCCTCCGTGTACGGGACATTATTTTAGCTTGATCTGGAAAATCGCATAAAAAATATTTTTGCGCGAAGACCGTACAATATACATACTTTGAAAGTGCCGAGGAGATAAGAAAGTGAGCAAAATATATTAGAGGAAATGGTCCATTTCCCGCAACTGAATATTCAAAGAGATTTTTTTCGTTACGATAAGATGGTAAATTTTGATAATTCAGTATTCTCTTTATTTAAAAAACGTGACCAAGGAATGTCGTGGACGTGAATAACAGCACTGTATGTATATACCTTAAGTTCCTTTGTTACTTTAAAGTTTGAATAACATAAATGACGCAATTTGTTTCCTAAATAATAATAATAATAATACTAATAATAACTAGTTGAATGTTAGAGAATACCTTTTAATACGGTTTAATTTTTTGTGAAGCTGTCGCGTGTACCATTTGAAGTTTCCAAGAATAAATAACCAACTCCTTCTTTAATTTTTTACGACAGTTTAGTATCTCAATGACAGGGGAGGATTACACTAACATACTTCGTGAAACACTTTATTTCGCGTATGAAAATGTGTCCAAAAATAGAGTTTAAGAACACCCACACCACATTAATGAATATCCCACACAGTAGAGAGCATTGCACTGAGATTTTTTTAACTGTAACAAACATGAATATTAATGTTGGTCAGCGAATCGAGACTTGACGTTTCATTAAAATTTCACCCCGTTATTTTAGGAAAAAATTAAAGTTAGTTTGGAAAAATAAAACTCTTGTCTAAACTACCATTCGAACACAGTGCAACTTTGGAAGTTTTAACCTCATACGAGTCACTTTTTTCTAATGAGAGTGCAAATTCTTTGACCGAATTTCATTGTCTAAAAGTCTTTACGACAGATGTTGCATATTTACTCAAAAATTAATTTAGATAAACTTAAGTACGGAGCTTTCAAGAAATCGCAATTTCTGCTCAGAAAAGTTTAAAAAGTTTCACGGTACCCCAAAACTTACGACGAAAACTATGCCAGGGAAGCATATGTTGATCAATAATTTGCGATACCTAATTATAAACACACAACGTTGAGTACAAGTTGATAATGTGTTGTTGATAGGTGAGGTCAGATTCAATTCCGCAAGTTTCGATAAATTTGTGGCATTTGTAATTTGCAGACTTAATTGTAATGATATAGTGTCAGAATCAGGAGTAGCGGTTTATATACAACTTTACCTATCAATTCCGAATATGAACAGTATCAGCTTTACTGGTTGAAGAATCAATATTGTGGAATGTACGCGTTATTCAGTTAATTTGTTTGTTTCAAATAATGATGAAACCGCTATAATCAACAAATCGAATTAATTTTCCATATTAGATAACGTTAAAATATGATAGTCGTCATTTGCGAACAATAACGATGTTGTGATAGATCCTAATGGTTTTTTGCAGTATAAAGGTAGTTATTCTTATTGCATTTTTTACTTTTCTTAAATATTTCCTCCGCTATCCTTATATGGGCAACACTTACATTTAACAGTTTCTTTCTACATTTTCTGAAGCTAGCTTCTTAAGTTGCTATGAAACTTTACAGTCAAGTATACGACAAATGTCGTAATTAGTACTTTTATAATTTCAAAATTAATAAAGTCTTCGTTCAAACGGCGACATCAATTTTATACGGTTTAGTAAGACTTTTCTTGACGGTTAAATCTTATAATTTCTGAATAGGGTCGCACGTTGGCGCCATGGGTGTTCTGTTGCTTTCACCGTGCAAGAACCAGTCAAATCAGAAGTTCTGTCAGTCCAGTTCCGTAGATAGACAAACACATATGGAAGGCGTGTACAATTTATACAAACATGTACAACAGCAAGAAATACTACCAATATTTTAATAAATGACGAATACAAACGACAAATTAAAAAGTAAAACGTATGTCAGTAATTAGTTTCTCCGCCCTTTGCGAAATTTAAATTAGATTAAACCGCCTCGCACTCGTTATTATTCGCGCTGGCATATTTTTTAAAACTGAGATTGACGCTGACATAATTATTTTGCTCTTTCTCGTGGAAACTGTAATGTGCAAAGTTGCGTTACATCTCGGTGTTATCTCAGCTGGAAAGTTTCAGCCCGGCCAGCGATACTTGAGAATATTCCATTCGAGCCGAACCCGAGCATAAAGCTAATCCTCGTAATTAACTTTTTTATTTGAGATGTAAATAACGTCAGCATCCCTAGCATCCGGCCGTCCATCGATTTTAAAACAATTTACCATTCAACAGGTCAATAATTCTCGTAAGTTAGCTGGATGCCACGGTCTCCGTCCGTATTAACCCGAGTGATAAATTGGTAGATCGACATGTTTGAGACGTTCAAGCCTTAAATCGTTCAGTTCATGGTCCTGACGACAGCCGATGGGGCTTCCCCAGGACCTGATTGATGCAGGGCGTCGTCGACGTTGGCGTTTCCTAGCAGCAGCCACCGCCGTCGCGTAATCGTGATATCGATCCGGTTCCATACCCTTGCTCTTTCCAATCTTCCAACGTTGCCAAGAAAACGACAATTCCTATACAAAGCATCCATTTTGTACAGTCGCAACCGTTATTAGACATGTCAAAATACCGCACTCGGTCCCACTTATATTAATGGTGGAGGGTGGGCAGAGAGGCAGAAATGTCTAGGAATGAAAGCGTTTGTCAGTGCTGACTATGATTAGTTAAAAGTACAGCACTAAAGCTACCGAAACGACTAGAACTAAAACGATATCGTATGTACACAATGTCTTATTTAGATATCCCAATCGTTTGTGTTTACAAACGCAATAACCGCAATAAATTTGCATATCATTAACTAACCTAACTAACCCTTTTAAATATACGTGATTTAATTTTAGAAATCAGGCAGTACAAGCTTAACAATAACATGACCTCGAGAAAATCCTCGTACATCTTTCTATCACTAAATCCACTAAAACTTTATCCCTCAAAAAGCAAAGGAATTATTTTCAAAACCCCTTCACTTAAACACATTGTCCACCAAAAACCAAAACTTTTTTTCAAAAATAACTCAAAGTTCATTAATTTATTGATTAATTAACAATCGAAGACATATTTCCAATTTTGCGAACTCATTAAAACGCGAATTCCAGGAACCGGGTAGTCCGATAGTTCTAAGAAAAACGCCGAACCATTTTTCCCAGAAATATCGAGTTTTATAGATCACACAAAACACAACCGTCGCCAATTTTACGCCATGGAAATGTAACTATAAAAATCAAATTTAACAGAAAGTTGAACAATTTTTTGCACGTAGAGACATGTAAAACTAGAAATGAAAATATTGTCTCTCTTAATTATTAATTTAGAGCAAAACATTAACTACAAAAATTATAAAGAATCTAAACCCTTTTTTACTTATTTTGTGACACCTTATAGCATTGAAATAAAAAGGTTAACTAACCTTTTAAAAAAACTCATATTCCCAATTTGCATTTCAAAATTTTAAGATGCCCTAGGCGGAACCTTCAACAGCGAATTATTTTCGATTCAAACTTGAAATATATTTAGTTATTTATGCAAAAATAGAACATATATTTCAGCAAGTATCTTATTACATTCTACACACTTTCTTTGTTGATTTCACATAACAAATAACAATAATAATAATAATAATAATAATAGAGATTTTTAATACTAATTTGAACCGGAAAATACGAAAAAATATGTAGGTATATAAATAAAAAAACTGAGCAGACTGAAAGTAGTACACTACGTGCCAAGTGTAGAAAAGTGAAGTTTTACCAAACAAGCATGGTTGTTTGAGTACGACTTAGCGAAGCGAGCGAGTAACTTAAAAACCATACGAGTTGTGAAAAGACTTTTCTATCGAGGCGCGTATACTATTTTTTCGCATTTCAAGAGCCAGATATTATTTGCGTTAATAATTTTCAATAAAAGTCAATTGTGGCTAAAAAATAATAGCACCTAGGTAACGCTTTTCAATAACCTAGCGACCAAGCAGAACTCGTTTTTTGCATACAACAACAATCAAACAAATTTAAAATAAAGCATAAATGGAATTGCACGATTCGACGAATATTCCGGTGAGTGTGGATATCTTGAGTACTGCCCATGAAGCTGAAATAATTGTATTT